TTTTTTTTTTTTTTTTTATTCGTCTTGTCAAGGGAGAGGGCGAATTTAATCTTGACAGAACTGGACAAATCTTTGAACTTCGTACACTTTCGAGAATCGAGATTTTGCCGACTTTGTTAGATTTTAATCGCGGGATCTACGATTGCAGAATTTTCTGCTTGAGAAATGACTCGATGTTAAGAAATGATTGTTTTTTGAAATTTCTTCTCTCCTTTGATGTGCAGTAATGCTTCATTCCGTTTCTCTCCTCGTTCAAAATATAAATTTATAGCCTTTTAGAGGAGAAGCTATATCTTTCCGTGACTTCTGTGATAATTCATTTCGAATCGATCACGTAACAGCACGAATAGACTCGCGTTAAAGGTGAAAGTGGTCCCAGATTGCACGATCGTTTAGGAGATCTACGCTTTAATTATGCACAGAGAAAGAATTCTCGAAATTCCCAGAATCATCCTCGCCGATGCTGGCTGTTTAACTGGTCGTTTGAAATTCACCAATTGAATTCGCTCCTCGACGTCTTTCATTATATTTATATATAGTATACTTTCACTAAACTGATCGACACGCCTTGTTATGCAGGACTCGTCTCATGAATAATTAATCGAGATACTTTTGCCTCGCTATGCTTTGATCTTACAGCTTCCGATGTTGGCTCGATTTCACCCGTACAAAATAAATCGCGACAACACTGGTGGATCCGTTTGAAAAAAATTTCGAAAATTCGCCGCTTGTTCGTGCTCAAATGAAACATAATTGAAATGCTCACTTTCATTTGATCGATCTTAGCTCTACCTATGACCTTTTGAGATTCAAATGATCAGGCCGAAATAACTCTACGAAAATATACACGTTGCGTAATGCCGTTTCGCAACACTGGAACCAACGTCTGCTAAACTGATAATTCCATTAAGAGTAATAAAAGGAAAAAGAAAACAATCCGACCTCTTCGGATTTTACTTTGAAAAGTATATATTATAGGTAAAAATACGAGTTTACGAGTGATTTGGTCGAGTTTTACTCTGTGATATTTATCAAACATCCATTAGCACCGGGAAAAAGGATTTAATACCCGAAGACCACGCGTGTCGGCCTTCGAACACGTGTTCCAAAGTGTTTCGCCCGCGAGAGAGCGTAGAACAAACGTGACGAAGAGGTAGAATTTCAAGAAGTCGGTAAATACGCCAGATCCCGTGCCTTTCAATCTTTCCTCCAAAGATTGCAGGCCAAGGTGGAAGGGGAACGAAGGCAGTCAGGGTATTTATAAAAAAGAAAAGAAAAGAAATCTTAACGAGTCTGTAATTAGTGTAATTACCGTTGGCACTGTGTACTTAAGAGCTTGCGTAGTCTTAATGTCTCTGTCACCTGGAAACGCCTTCCATAATTCCTTTTAATATATCCTGTCTAGAAAAAAGGGGATGGAAGAAACGAGGGGGGAGGGAGGTGGAAATGTAAAAAGGCGCGGGTATCTAGATCGAAGCTTGTGAACGAGGGTCCTCTTCGGCGATTGCCAGCCAGAACGGATTACCTCTAATCTCTGACATTAGCTCCCTTTTCTGCATCGACCGTGCTTTACACGTTTCTATGG